AAAAAAAAAAAAAAAAAAAAAAACACAGTCACACACCAAAAAAATCTGAAACCTCCTCCTCCCATCCATAAATGGCCTAAAGCACCCTTCCAAGGATCAAATACTACTTTGGGAATGGAATTTCTGGGTGGTTCTGTATTTGATGGCATATCATCAAGAAAAGTTTGGAGAAATTGGTGTTGTCTTGAATCTTGATTATTTATCTAATGAAATCTCCACAATTTTAGGCGGTGAGAAGAGATTCATTTTGTTTTTAGAACTCTTCACTGGAATATCTTTATTTAGGACCTGGTTGGAGATAATATGCTGTTGGCAAGTTAATTGGCAGACTAGTTGCAATCTTACTGGAGGTTCATTACGACCACTTATGAAACCTAAGTTTAGTATGCATCACCTCCATTCATCAGGGATTACTCTGCATTTTGTTTTTAATTTGATGAAATTTGCTTATTTTGTGTGAATGGTGAGGTTGCTACGATGGTCTTCATAATTTATAGTCTCTTTAATTTATGTCTTTGTTCTGGTTACGCATTTTCCTTCTAATGATATAGCAATGCCAATCCATTTCTTTTCCCGGTTTTTCAGAGATGTCACTAAAAATTTTGGAATTGAAGTTCAGAAGACCATAACAAGAGAATCTGGTCGGGTCATTAAGCCACCTAACTTGAAGGTTGGCAAAGGGGAAATCGTAACAGTTGACAAGAAATGCCAGTGGAAACTTTCTGGTAAATCTGTGGTGGAAGGCAAGCCAATCGAGCGATGGGCCTTGATAGATTTCAGTTCAGATAAACTGAACTCTGATGCTTTCATTCAGAATCTGAAATATAAATGCAAAAATCTGGGCATCCGTGTGGAGGAGCCTGTTGTGTGCCATTTCACTGGCATGCATGAATTCTCTAGTGTTGTTGCGATTCAAAAACTTCTTGAAAGCGTGGTTAGTCAGGCCAAAGGGAAGTGTGAGGGCCGGTTACAAATTATTGTTTGTCTGATGACTGAAAAGAATCCTGGCAGAAAGTATCTTAAATGGGTCTCCGAGACTCAGATTGGTGTACTGACTCAATGTTTCTGTACTGACCAGTATCTTGCAAACCTTGCTCTTAAGATTAATGCCAAGCTCGGTGGTAGCAATGTAGAGCTGATTGAACGGCTCCCCGGTACTGAAGGTGAGGAACATGTTATGTTTATTGGGGCTGATGTCAATCATCCTGCTGCACGGAATGAAACATGTCCATCAATAGCAGCAGTTGTTGCAACAATGAACTGGCCTGCTGCCAATCGCTATGCTGCAAGGATGTGTCCCCAGGAACACCGCAAGGAGAAGATTCTGAATTTTGGGAACATGTGTTTGGATCTAGTCAATACTTACGCTCGACTTAACAAAACCAGGCCAAAGAAAGTTGTGATTTGTCGGGATGGGGTAAGTGAAGGCCAATTCGATATGGTTCTCAATGAAGAGTTACGTGATATAAAGAGGGCCATATGTAATGAAGATTACCAGCCAACAATCACTCTTGTTATTGCTCAGAAGAGACACCCGACCCGCCTGTTTCTTGATAATGGTGGGGGTGCATCCGGCAATGTGCCTCCTGGAACAGTTGTGGATACCACAATCGTTCATCCTTTTGAATTTGATTTTTATCTGTGCAGCCACTATGGAACCATTGGGACAAGCAAGACAACGCACTACCGTGTCCTCTGGGATGAGAATAATTTTACGTCTGATGAGTTACAGGAGTTGATATATCACTTGTGCTTTACCTCTGCACGATGCACCAAGCCTGTCTCAATTGTGCCTCCAGTTTACTATGCTGATCTTGTTGCGTTCAGGGGACGTGAATATCAAGAGGTGGCGATGGAGTTGCAGTCTTGTCCTTCATCATCATATTCGGTTGCTGCTGCTTCACTGGATGAGCGTGTATACAAATTGCACAGAGACATTGAGAACGAGATGTTCTTCATTTGAGGGGCCAAACATGGTCGTCTAAATCTCCTTCCCTATTCTCAATTGTGGAGGAGATAACGTTAACTGCTGGATTTGTCCGTACACATTAGTGACAGAGTTTGTGTGTGAATCTAATTGGGTTTCAGTGACAGAGTTTGTGTGTGAATCTAATTGGGTTTCAGTGACGGCGTTTGTGTGTGAATCCAACTGGGGTTAATGTCCTAGTACTGCCTGTTCACATGGTTCTTGATGCCATGTAGAATTATAGGTATGCTATAGCCACTGTTAAGTAGGCTATAAGTCCTGTGTTTTTTATTTTCAGTGTGTGTGTGCGCGTTTTTCTCGTGTTTGTTGTTTGGTTTCCTACCTGTCCTGTGAGTGAAGTTGGAGAATGATGAGTTGGGTTTGATGTTTGTTGCTTTAGCTATGGAGATTGTAATGTTTACAAATAAATAAGGGGTTTGATCCTTGTGTATGTTCCTATTTATATATTAATGTTATGCCCAGTTTGATTTTGATTTAAGTGTATTCAACAGATCTACAATACCTGGAAGGTGGGTTTGAAGTAGGCAGATTTTGATCTGAATGAATTTGATCCAAATCTAATTAGCCGGATATAGATAGATCAATATTTTTTATAGATTATTTAAACCAGAACGAATACCAGGCATATGCAGTATAGCATGAAAATCATCATTTACTGATTTTTCCAACATCAATGTTGTGCAACCAAGTTTTCAGATCAAACCAAACCAATATTCCATAATATTACTAAACGTATAAACATATCATAGTAAAATAATAAACATAGAGAGTTTGGATGATACATAAAAACATGTTCAAAATCTCTATGCAACATAGGTGGGTTCTTAATGCTCTGTTTCTGTGGGTTACATATAATGATTCTCTTAATAAGCAGATGAACGAAAGAAGTAAAATAAACTAGGGAATTTGTCAGCAGATGGATGAGTGGGGCCGTGGGGGATATAAAGGGAAATCATATAATCTAAGGTTGCTTAATTAGGAATGGAATTAAAGTTAGAATGGAATTGATTATCGTTTATTTGGTAACAATTAAGATTTAGTGTTGAAATATAATTGAAAATTTATTTCAAAAGTTTAAATAACTTAATATTTTTACTAAAATGATTTGAAAATGATCAAAAAAGAAATACCTATTTTTAATGACTCAACCTCGAGGTCTTGAAGGGACCCGAATAAATCTCGTGATGTCTAGTTACCTATGCCATACTTATTTTTTATCTTTTTGTGTTAGTAATCTTCTAATACTATGCCTATTATATAAGATAAGCCGTAAATTTTAACACAAACTCAATAAAATTTAATATGAATCGATATGATCCGACATGATTGTCAGACATACATACATACAAAAAATAATAAAATANCAACCTCGAGGTCTTGAAGGGACCCGAATAAATCTCGTGATGTCTAGTTACCTATGTCATACTTATTTTTTATCTTTTTGTGTTAGTAATCTTCTAATACTATGCCTATTATATAAGATAAGCCGTAAATTTAATATGAATCGATATGATCCGACATGATTGTCAGACATACATACATACAAAAAATAATAAAAGAAATTAGTTGGTATTTACCTCACATTAATATTATTTTTACGAGGTTGAGTGTGTAACATGAAAAATTTTATTTTATAGGGTAGAAAATAAAAAATTTGAAATATTGCAACCTACATAGTATCATTAGCCCCTATATTTAGGATTGATTTTTAAGTTCAACAAAAAAAAAANAGTAATCTTCTAATACTATGCCTATTATATAAGATAAGCCGTAAATTTAATATGAATCGATATGATCCGACATGATTGTCAGACATACATACATACAAAAAATAATAAAAGAAATTAGTTGGTATTTACCTCACATTAATATTATTTTTACGAGGTTGAGTGTGTAACATGAAAAATTTTATTTTATAGGGTAGAAAATAAAAAATTTGAAATATTGCAACCTACATAGTATCATTAGCCCCTATATTTAGGATTGATTTTTAAGTTCAACAAAAAATTCACCATTTCTAAACTCAAGAGATCAACCATTGTAATCTCTTTCAATAATCATTGCTCCTCAGCGCCAAAGCTTAACCATCAAAGACCACTATACGATGGCAACCCGACGGCAACTTCTCCAAAACCCCACTCTCCGGAAAAAACCATCTTCAACTTCTATGCCGAACCCTAACCCAACCCATTTCAGCAAAGCCATCCAAACAATTTCAATTTCCTCAAAACAGAACAACCCATCAAACGTAATACCAAATTCATCAACACCCACTCCAAATACATTCTTGATTGAAAAGATTTTGGTGTCCCTAAAGCAAGGTAAGTCCAATTCTTCAAGAAGTTGTCTATTTCAACTGAACACATCAGTTTTTGTTGAAGTTCTCTACAAATGTGGTGACAATTTGGTATTGGGTCAGAGATTTATTGATTTAATTGCTGTATGTCATCCAAATTTTAGGCATTCGTCGCGTTCATTGAGCGCGGCAATTCATATTTTGGTTAGGACTAGGAGACTATCTGATGCTCAGGCTTTGGTACTCAGGATGGTTAGAAGAAGTGGTGCTTCAAGGGTTGAGATTGTGGATTCATTGGTTTCAACTTACTTGAAATGTGGGTCAAATCCACTTGTCTTTGATTTGTTGATTAGAACTTACGTGCAAGCTAGGAAGTTGAGGGAGGCGGTGGAGGCATTTCGGATGTTGAAAAGTAGAGGGTTTTATGTTTTGATAAATGGTTGTAATAGTCTTCTTGGAGGGCTTGTCAAGGTTGGATGGGTTGATTTGGCATGGGAAGTCTACGGAGAAATGGTTAAAAGTAATGTTCTAGTGAATGTGTATACAGTAAATATAATGGTTAACGCATTGTGTAAAGACCAAAAAATAACAAATGCGAGGCTGTTTTTATCTGAAATGGAAGAGAAAGGAATTTTTCCAGATATTGTAACTTATAACACTTTAATTAATGCTTATTGTCGTCAAGGGCTTGAAGGAGAAGCTTTTGAGTTGATGAACTCAATGACTGCTAAAGGATTGAAACCTTGTCTTGTAACATATAATTCTATTATAAATGGTTTGTGTAAGAACGGGAAATATGTGAGGGCAAAGGAAATTTTGGGTGAGATGGTGCAGATGGGGTTGTGTCCTGATACTGCTACTTACAACACATTGCTTGCTGAGTGCTGTAGAAAAGATAATTTGTCGGATGCAGAAGGAATTTTTGATGAAATGTTGTGTCAAGGTGTTGGTTTAGATCTTGTTAGCTATAGCTCCCTTATTGGGTTGTTTTCAAGGAATGGACATCTTGATCTGGCATTAGCATATTTTAAAGATATGAAGAGTGTTGGCTTGGTACCAGACAAAGTTATTTATACTATTCTTATTGGAGGTTTTTGTAGAAATGGCATTATGTCAGAGGCTATGAAGATGCGGGATGAAATGCTCAAACAAGGTTGCCTTATGGATGTGGTTACATACAATACTATTTTGAATGGGCTATGCAAAGAGAAGATGCTCCCTGAGGCTGATGGGCTTTTCAATGAGATGGTTGAAAGGGGGATCCATCCCGATTTTTGCACTTACACGACACTCATACATGGATATTGTAAGGATGGGAATATGAACAAAGCTGTAAACTTGTTCAAGTCGATGCTTCAGCGAAATCTCAAACCAGATATTGTCACTTACAATACTTTGATTGATGGGTTTTGCAAGGAAGGAGAAGTGGAAAGAGCTATTGCCTTGAGGGATGATATGATCTTTCAAAAGATATTTCCTAATTACATTACATATAGCATTCTAATTAATGGATTTTGTAGTAAGGGTTGTGTATCTGATGCATTCAGAATGTGGGATGAGATGGTTGATAAAGGTATTGAGCCCACTATTGTAACTTGTAACACTATAATAAAAGGATATTGTAGGTCTGGGGATGTAGCAAAGGCAGATGAGTTTATGAAAAAGATGAGTTCCAAGCGACTTTTTCCTGATTGTGTTACATATAATACTCTTATAAATGGATATTTAAAAAAAGAGAATATGGACACAGCCTTTGAATTGGTTAGTAAAATGGAAAATCAAGGCCTATCACCTGACATCATTACATACAATGCAATTCTGGATGGATTCTGTCGACAAGGTAGTATGCAAGAAGCCAATCTCATATACAGCAAGATGATTGAGAGGGGTATAGATCCTGACAGATCCACATACACATCATTGATAAATGGGCATGTCACACAGGACAACTTGAAGGAGGCATTTCGGATCCACGATGAGATGCTGCAAAAGGGTTTTGTGCCAGATGATAAATTTTAATTTGTTTGCTGTTGCAGCCATTTATCCCTACATACTGAGGTGTGTGGTTCGTTGATATTGAACTGCTCCACTGTTACATCCATTATAGGCATGACAGACTGAGTTTGTCAAGCTGCATTTTGCATAAATAATAAAGGTGGGAATCAAACCATTTGCAGTCTGCTCTTTGAATTCACCTCAATTGCCACATGAACTCCACTTTTTGGGAGTCTTGTCTCTCATTTAGTCCTTTTCTCCTAAATTCTGGGAATGCATGAAACCTATTTGTTTTTTACACAAACGCGTGACAGATTTCAGTTTAGATAAACTTCAACTTTGCAAATAATGTAAGGTGTTGGGAATGTTGATGTTCACAAACATATGGTTGTGTTGCAGGGAATAATGGAGCAAACAAATGGTGATTCAAGTACATCAGAACCTTTGAAACATGAGTACAGTTACGAATGGGCGTGGTATAGGTAGCCAAATATGTTGATGGTATTACACTCTGGCTCTTCTCTTACCTCAAATATCTCTTAGTTTTGTCGAGCAGCATAGTTTGTGTGCCCTGTTCTATGGAATATTGATTTGAACATACTGATTGGAACATCCTTGTTTCAGACTTAGATAACAATGAATCTGGAGAAAGAGCAAGCTGAGGGTTGGAACAAGGTTAGTGGAGGCATAGAGTTTTATATGCTGTGTGTGTGTGTGTGTGTGTGTATTTATATATATATATATATGCTGTGAAAAAAAAAGGAGAGCGCCTAGAAACCATCCTGATAGATCCTGGTGGAATCATGATGCTCCTGACCACGTCCGTTACTCTTCTTGGGAGCGAACCTAGCCTCAATATATACGATATATATATCCCATTACTTTCCTTTTTGGAGGGCTCTTTACAGCTCATGCTGTGAGAGCACTTTCATACTCCGAATTTTTATCACCAACTTTGAGCTTCAACAGTTGGTTCCCTCTTGCTGCTGATCAGCCAGTTGACTAGTGAATTTGGCACTCTTGGTCCCTAATAACCCATGTAAACTTTCTGGATCCCTACAAATGGACTTTCAGTAAGTTGGACATTCATTTGGGTATTCTTGTAGTATCCAAAAGAAGGAAAAAAAGGAGATAAGTATCATGGAAAGGACCCCCCCCTCCTTTTTTTTCTTTTTTGGAGTAATGTTTCAACTATAGATTTTCAGGCCAGAAATGACTTGCCCTTCTATAAATCTTAGGACAGAAATGTTTCCTTGGACTTTTTTGTCAGGACTTTGACGTTTGAGTAGCATTCATGGATGTTTGCCCTTGCCAAATGAAGATCGAAAATGGTACCAACAACTGACAAGAACGCAGTACCTGCTTTTGTGTGTTAGTCTGGAGGATCAAAATATCTCTTGAAATTTCAAGCAATTCAAAACAATGAAAACAAGAACCTAATAGAGAACTGTTTCCTTCAGCTTTATTCATCTATATTTCAAATGCATCTTCTAGAGGTGACATCATTTCCATTGTTCCTCTGTGTGTCCCCCTCAACCCACACACCAACACCGCCCAAAAAAAAAAAACACCTTCACCTTTTCTCTCTCTGCTTTTGTCATTTTATGTTTTACTACTGTACATAATCAACTTGAGGTTTGTTTTGGTATAATGGACTAAAGCAATACCATGGACTCTGGCAGTCTGGCTAGCCGGTTAATGTTATAATTGCTTACAATAGAAATATTTATGAAGTTGGAGATGGATTTGTAGTTTTGATCCTTCGTGGATGGGGCAAGGGAGGTCCAGCCATTGAAGCTTGGGCAACAATTTTTACAAATGACGTCAATGTCTACCTTAGCAAGTGAGTTAGGCATCACACCTACTCTTTTCATGTTGGAAAGGCCGAACTATTGACACATTTCTATCTGTTCCAAATTTATTATAGAACTAATGTTTCTTTTTGGTTGTTTGGTGAAGTTACTGAAACCTGCCAATGTTCCCTCTATTTCCTTCTTCTTGTTGCTGGTTGAATTAGGGTGGGACATTGAGCTGTGCCAACAAGAAGAAAATTCCCCTATGGTATAAGAAAGGAATGCCATGCAGCCAACCACTTATAATTTGAGATGGTATGATAACTGAACTAGAATTTCTGTAAGAGAAAGTTTGCAGCAGTTGAAACATTTGGTTTTAGAACAGTGTACTGAGTACTCAATTTTCTCCCTTCCCTCTCTTGACCTTTTGCTGCAACCAATGAAGCATAAATGTGAATTACCGTCTTGTTCCCTCTTAATTTCAGGTTCTGGTCGGTGTGATCACTAATTGTTTTGTTAATCTCAATACGTGCGAGCTTTTCAGCTTGATCCACTCCCTCTATCATCATCCTCCAATGGAAAGCTATACCCGACCTAGTCGAGAAGGGCATCATCATACACGCCGAGGAGGGCTGGAATCTTCTTCAGGTTTTTGAGGTTAGAGCAGCAGCATGTACTCTTTTGAGATAGCATTTGGTCTTAGGATGTATGTTTGTTGGATCTGCATCACTTTGGCCATCAGTAAAATGTGATGCTTTTGTATTTAACCGAATAGAACCGTGACTTCTTCGACTGGTAAAGAGTGATGACTGAGTTCTTGCCCATGTATCTAATTTTGGTTTCGAGTAGCACAAAGGCAATTGAGAATCCTCAAAAAAAAAAGAGTAGCTTTTGGAAACATAGTGCATCCAGGTAAATAAGGAACGAGATGAATACATTTGAGAGTGCATTTAATTTAGGCATTAAATAGTATCAGATTGGACAAACTTGTTTATCTCATACCCATCCATCCAGGTCTTGAATTAATTATAGTAATAATATCTCTTCATCCCATGTTTGATTTAAGTANCATCCTCCAATGGAAAGCTATACCCGACCTAGTCGAGAAGGGCATCATCATACACGACGAGGAGGGCTGGAATCTTCTTCAGGTTTTTGAGGTTAGAGCAGCAGCATGTACTCTTTTGAGATAGCATTTGGTCTTAGGATGTATGTTTGTTGGATCTGCATCACTTTGGCCATCAGTAAAATGTGATGCTTTTGTATTTAACCGAATAGAACCGTGACTTCTTCGACTGGTAAAGAGTGATGACTGAGTTCTTGCCCATGTATCTAATTTTGGTTTCGAGTAGCACAAAGGCAATTGAGAATCCTCAAAAAAAAAAGAGTAGCTTTTGGAAACATAGTGCATCCTGGTAAATAAGGAACGAGATGAATACATTTGAGAGTGCATTTAATTTAGGCATTAAATAGTATCAGATTGGACAAACTTGTTTATCTCATACCCATCCATCCAGGTCTTGAATTAATTATAGTAATAATATCTCTTCATCCCATGTTTGATTTAAGTATTAAGAAGTAGTGAATCTCACATTTATTCCGTCCAATATTATCTTTGGAAGGAGTGTTGAATACCGAACCCTAAAGATAATTATATCTTAGAGATTTTAAGTGTAAAAATGTCTTTTATCAAAATATACCTCAATCGAACTATTTAAACCCACCAAATAAGTGGGTTTAATTAAGAGGCTATATGTGAGTTTAAAAATAGGGGTTTGAGNAAGGCAATTGAGAATCCTCAAAAAAAAAAGAGTAGCTTTTGGAAACATAGTGCATCCTGGTAAATAAGGAACGAGATGAATACATTTGAGAGTGCATTTAATTTAGGCATTAAATAGTGTCAGATTGGACAAACTTGTTTATCTCATACCCATCCATCCAGGTCTTGAATTAATTATAGTAATAATATCTCCTCATCCCATGTTTGATTTAAGCATTAAGAAGTAGTGAATCTCACATTTATTCCGTCCAATATTATCTTTGGAAGGAGTGTTGAATACCGAACCCTAAAGATAATTATATCTTAGAGATTTTAAGTGTAAAAATGTCTTTTATCAAAATATACCTCAATCGAACTATTTAAACCCACCAAATAAGTGGGTTTATTTAAGAGGCTATATGTGAGTTTAAAAATAGGGGCTTGGGGAGGCCGGTACCTCCCCAAAAAACTTAATTGGATAAAAGTACATTTTTTAAAATAATTAAAATAGAAGTACATGTGTTAAAAAAAAAGTCATAAATGTCCTTTAATCCCTACCATAAATAGTGCATACCTAACTGAATATGAGACTTTTAAGATTCTTTTTGATATTTATGTATCATTTGAATTTTGAAATTTTATATATATATATATATATACACACACACACACACACGTAATACAGTGACACGTTCAACAAAAAAATAGTAACATCAAACAGTGACACGCTCAACAAAAATGAATNTTAAAATAATTAAAATAGAAGTACATGTGTTAAAAAAAAAGTCATAAATGTCCTTTTATCCCTACCATAAATAGTGCATACCTAACTGAATATGAGACTTTTAAAATTCTTTTTAATATTTGTGTATCATTTGAATTTTGAAATTTTATATATATATATATATACACACACACACACGTAATACAGTGACACGCTCAACAAAAAAAATAGTAACATCAAACAGTGACAGGCTCAACAAAAATGAATAACATCAAACAATAACACACTCAACAAAAAAATAGTAACATCAAACAGTAATACAAATATTTTTGTTGAGCGTGTCACTATTTGATGTTGCTATTTTTTTGTTAAACGGGTCATTGTTTGATGTCACTGTATTACGTGTGTATGTGTGTGTGTATGTATATATATATATATATCTGTCTGTGTGTATATATATATATATATGAAATTTTAAAATTCAAATGATAAACAAATATCAAAAAAAATCTTGAAAGTCTTACANTAGTAACATCAAACAGTAACACAAATATTTTTGTTGAGCGTGTCACTATTTGATGTTGCTATTTTTTTGGTTAAACGTGTCACTGTTTGATGTCACTGTATTACGTGTGTATGTGTGTGTGTATGTATATATATATACATGTGTGTATATATATATCTGTGTGTGTGTGTATATATATATATATGAAATTTTAAAATTCAAATGATAAACAAATATAAAAAAGAATCTTGAAAGTCTTACATTCAAGTAANAGAATAACGAGATATTATCAGTATAATTAGTCCAAAGCCCAAATGAATAGGTATGCGCTGAACGAGATTATCCAATCTAATACTATCTAATGCCTAAACCAAAGACGATCTTAATGGTTTGCTCCAACGTAGTTAAAAGATTCCATTCATTGAAATTTTTTGCTCCAGTTTAGTCCCTTCTCATTTGAAGCACCAATTACACTCTTTAATCCAATAGGCTGTTGGGGTTGGGGATAAGAATGGGATAAGGGCTGGAAAGGAAGGGGATGTTTGCAAATTTCGTATATCGCACGAGGCCGACGTTAGTGTGTGTATATATATATTCGTGTGTATGTGTTTATGCTCAAAAAATCGTGCGATATACGAAATAAGTAGGGCGATAATGCCTAATGACATCAATGGTGAGGACACTAACAGCCGGACCTCTACAATGTCAACATAAGAATAATATTTTTTGGTTATTTAGATAATGTAAACTCCAAACTTCATAGACTTGATATATTACTCAATACAATTTGGTAGGTTTGATAGTCTACATTTTTCTTTTGCCCACTAAAAAGTGGGCACCGCTTAACAATTGATCAAATTTGGACCGAGTTTCACTCTAGCTAACTCTTAATTTGACGTTAACATTTTGATCCTAATACGATAGTNAAGAATAATATTTTTTGGTTATTTAGATAATGTAAACTCCAAACTTCATAGACTTGGTATATTACTCAATACAATTTGGTAGGTTTGATAGTCTACATTTTTCTTTTGCCCACTAAAAAGTGGGGACCACTTAACAATTGATCAAATTTGGACCGAGTTTCACTCTAGTTAACTCTTAATTTGACGTTAACATTTTGATCTTAATACGATAATTTAACAAATTTATGTTCTCAGTAGTAATCGAAATCCCGTTGAAAGTCAAAAACTAAATTAAAATTTTATTTAATTTGGATCTTATCATAATCGGAATATTAGAATATGGACATTTTGAATCTGAAATAAAGTATTCCGGATCAGATGGTGAGAAATTTTCTTGTGACTTATCCNACATATGAATAGTATTTTTAAACCCCATATAGTTTCTTAAATAAACCCATTTATTTGGTGGGTCTAAATAGTCCAGCTATGATATGTTTTGACAAAAATATTTTTATCTTCAATAATTTCTAGGATATAATTATCTTGAGGGTTCTTTAGTAATTTAATGTTTATACCATAATTCAATATTCTATTCAAACAAAGTATTGGATATAATAAATATAAGGTCCACTGTTTAATACTTGAAACAAACATAGAATAACGAG